CACCGCAGGCGAGCACTGGTGAAAGTGGTGAGTAGAGGGGCGTCACCGGTAACTGCCCGCTGCCCGATCCAGATCTGAGCCCGTCCACTAGTCGAGACAAAAGAGAGCAGTCACCTAGATAGCCAGTTTAAAAAGCAATATTCTGTTAGTAAACGATTATTTATCCACCAATTTATCTATTACTATCATTAAATTACATCTAATCTATATCTATAGTCGTTTTTCTCAACGCCAACCCCCTCTTTATTTTCTCTGCTCCGCTTTGTTGGTTATGAGTGTATTGTTCACTATAGGGGCTTTCGATACATTATCTGATATGCCCAAGCATTCAAATACTTTGTAGGGGTCAGTGATTGCAGAGGTGGATAAAACGGAAGAACTCGTTGTAATTAACAGGCTGTTGCAAATTATTAAACAATGTTTGCTGATTATAACTAATCAAATTGGTCATTGGAGAATTGTTAGATGCCGCAGAAGAATTATTCGATGTCGAATATGGATTCATAATGCTCATTGAGCGATTAGAACTGACCAAGTTTGTTGTTCGACGATTGTTCAAGTTGACATCCTGACATTTACAATCCAGACTGCTGCCGTCTTGGAGTGGCAACTGACATGTCAGGCATTGTGCTGCTTCTCAATTGAGGTTGCTGCACTGGTTGAGACTGGGATACTTGTGAGAACGTTGCAAATTCGACGTATAGTTACTAAATAGTGAGAAAATATCTTCGACCTCGGATTTACGACTATTAGATAGATAGTGTATCGGATGATGGGGTGCCGCGCTTGGTAGCGAAAATCGGTTAAGTGGGCGATACGGTCCTTGTCGAAGCAGGCGTCACCCGGGATCCTTTTTTTTCTCTTCTGCTTTGGAGGAGAGCGATGGAGAGTAACGGTATAATATCGGAGTGTCATAGATAGTGTGTTGGATGATGGGGTGTCGTGCTTGGTAGCGAAAATCGGTTAAAGTGGGCGATACGGTCCTTGTCGAAGCAGGCGTCGTCGCGTCGTACTAGACCCGGGATCCTTTTTTTTCTCTTCTGCTTTGGAGGAGAGCGATGGAGAGTAACGGTATAATATCGGAGTGTCATATGTAATATATAGATAGTGTGTTGGATGATGGGGTGTCGCGCTTGGTAGCGAAAATCGGTTAAAGTGGGCGATACGGTCCTTGTCGAAGCAGGCGTCGTCGTACTAGACCCGGGATCCGTGAATTTATATATCTCGAGAGTTTCTATTTCTATTGAGTATGAGATATTTTTTTTCTTCTGCTTTGGAGGAGGAGCGATGGAGAGTAACGATATAGTATCGGAGTGTTATTTGTAATATAGAGTATCAGCATAAAAATTGTTCGTTGTTGTATTTGCGTTTTGGAGAAGGAGGAGTTGTATTTGCAATGGAGGAAAGAGTCTGAGTATATATATATGTATGAGTAGACGCGTTGGATGACGAAAGATGACATATTGGTACTACTTGATATTGTCTTATAAGTATACATGTCTTATCTTATGCAGTAAGGAGTGTGAGAATCTGCGACTGTCAACCAATAGTAAAGCGTCGATATATTGCCTAGGGTAACACATCGTTACATCATATCGTGATTGATGTACAGAGGAACAATAGTATCAATGTGACATTTCAGAGCACACGAGTAAAATTTTTTTTCACTGTTAAAAGTCCGATAAGTCACGCGTATAATTTAATTAAACTGACTAATATCGTTATCTACGCAGTAAGGAGTGTGGGAGTTTGCAGTGTCACGATTGATAGTGATGGGATCGATAACAAGCAATATAAGAAAAGCGTAAAGTCCATATTAGTAATATGATTGTCTAGCCAAACAATAATTGGATGGTAATTCTCCCTGTATATAGTGATAGAATAAGTTATTATATTTATAATAATGACTACTATTATTGTAACAGATAACATTTTGCTTGCTTGCTTAACCAGCGACTGTAAAGAGGGGTATATATACAATTCGTTGTAAAGCGCTTTTACAATTTTATTGTAAAATCTACAAAATGGCCTTCTTACAACTTGATATGTTTTATTTGTTCAGTTAGCCGCTAGCTCTTTGTACCCGTCAAAGATTATATCACACATTTCTACTACAGACGTGTGTCGTACACTTTATTAACTGGAAGTATCACATGTAAACTGCCCTATTTTAGCAAACAATCTGTATATGTGGCTGTGCAATTTGCGAGAACCTTCTCCCATCTACTATTATAAAATGCGGTTAATGCACAAACAATAAACGATAATGCACGTGGATGGATTGACATGTTCTGTTTGGGGCGTGTTTATTCATTAAGTGTAGTTAATATGTTCGAGTTTCGTTCGTGCGTATTCGGTGGAGTTAACGGCTCCGAATTTTAGCTCCGCGCGCCTCTTAAACGTGGTTCGTTCAAACTCACACCCATTTATTGATAATCTGGCATGTTCTGTTTGGGCCCCCTTAAGCATCGTACAGACACCCCCATTCATGCATGGCTAGTTAGTTAATAAATTCTGTCTTATATCTTTTTTTTTTCTCTTCCAGAAATATCTTTGGGAATTTTTATTGAGAATTCTACAATACTAAGCCTAAAAACCTAATTTAGCTACATCATTATCAGATTATCTCAAATCCGCTGGGTATGCCCAGAAATCGTGTGCCTAATGGTCTATTTTGTTAATGATCTACAATTTAAATTTTATGCAGATCCGATTTGGTAAGAAAAGTTTTTCTGGATCTCGCTCTGACAAAAAAAATGCTAAAAGTAATGTGCGCATGATAGTAATTCTTGTATATGTGTGCAGTGTGCTTGCTTTCTCTCAATGTAAGACATGGCTTACTTGATTCTGTTAAAACAGTAAACCAAAAACTGCTCGATCTGCTCGAGCGTTAAAGAAAAGAGAGCCAAAGGTGCAAGAGAACACCAAAACAGCAATATTCATTCGGGGAAGTCAGACAAGCCAAATAGTGAATGCTGCTCTAGCTGACCTTGTAAGTAGCAAACCAATGCATCTTATAAAGATCTATACAAGGACCTATAGTCTTTTCTCCATGTAATTTCTCGTATTTTTATAATGACTTTTTTTTTTAATCGTGATCGTTCTTGCTTCTACGACAGTGCTCATTAAAGAAGCCAAATGCAGTAATGTTTAGTAAGAAGAACGATATACATCCATTTGATGACGAAACGCCGCTACAGTTCTTTTGCCAGAAGAATGACGCTTCATTATTTGTTGTTGGAATGCATTCGAAGAAGAGACCACATAATCTTGTATTTGTTAGAATGTTTGATGGACAAGTACTGGATATGATTGAAATTGGAATCGAGAAGTCTGTGTCGTTGAAAGATATCAAAGTAAGTTATATATGATCACACATGAGTAATCTCATCATTCAATCAACAGTATTTTTTACTTTCACTCATCCCTTTCGTTAGACATCAAAATGCCAAGTTGGAATGAGACCGTTATTTCTCTTTAATGGAGAGATCTTTGATAAGTCCACAAACCACAAAATGTTTAAGAACATGCTTCTCGATTTCTTCCGTGGCCAGTCAACCGATTCTATAAGTCCCACTGGACTCGAACATGTCATATCGGTCAGCGCTGATTCAAATGGAAAGATATATTTTAGAGTTTATATTGTAAAGTTGAACAAGTCGGGACAGCGGACGCCACGTGTGGAATTAGAAGAAATGGGCCCGTCGTTTGACTTTGTCATCAGAAGGACAAAGTTTGCTAAAGAAGAGGTGTACAAAAAGGCGACTCGAATACCAAAACAGTTAAAAGTAAGTATTAAACAGTGGAATACTTATTTTCATGATGACGACCACCGAGATCATGTTACTAATATATGTTCTAACTGTTTCAATAGCCCAAGAAAGTTAAGAACGTTGATGTCAATGAGATGGGTGATAAAATAGCAAAGATTCATCTTGGAAAGCAAGATTTCGACAAAATCCAAACCCGAAAGGTAAAAGCATTGAAAAAGAGAGACATCGACACGGCGACAGAGGGAGAACCGAAAGACGAAAAAGAAAAGGTGCATAAAAAAGTAAGAATAGTCGGATAATCTGAGCAAGTTGACACGGTCAAGTCCCTGGTTGGGTTGGACAATTTGGCAGTTTATATAAATTACACGTAACGCATCGTATGTATTTGGATATAGCATTTTTGTTCATAGCCGATGAACTGTATTTACTTTAATATGACCTTCTTACAATATAGAGATAATTATCTGGAGACACTGGTTGCGTAAAGGGATTTTGCATGGTCTTGCTATTTGCAAAGGATGACTTCTTTCTTACGATTGTTGTCATCAATTGACCGTAGAATTAGGCTTGTCTTACATGAATGGTATTTGGTCGAGCTACCTGCGTCGTGTCTTGCAGTTCTTACGTTTAACACGATAATATGATCAGTATATTTGACATATAACTGAGTTATAAAATAACTTATGTACCATCAACCCAATAAGTATGTGTATTTTCTCTGGTTGTTTAGGAGAGTAGTTTCTATCCACTCCCCTTTTTGAATGAAATGCTCATCCCTCAGATCAATATATCCATTTAATTTTCACAATAGAGAGAACAATATCCACCGGACTAGCTTTAAACATATTACGAAATTCTTAAAACTTCGCTTTCCAACGTTGATACTGTTATAAAATTAACGATGCTTAAACATTGTCTAAAATTCTGCTGACAATATCAATGTTTTCCTTTTTATCCGCTCTGATAACCACGACTATACTGCATAGGAAACTTATAACACGAGACGTCGTCTTTACCAAATATCCAAGTTATTCTTTTAAAGTTAACGACATAACACGTAACGAGGCGGCAATGTTGGCATTACGAAGAGCTTGCTTGTCAAAAAGCTTATATTGTTTTACGTCATATCAAAATTTCACAAGGATGATACAAATTGAAATATGCAGCAGCGTCAATCGTGCGTAACCACCCACACAGCAGTAATTCCTATTGTGTAAAAGTGACATATTTTATTAACAAGCATTGCACATACATGCGCAAATCGACTTTTCAAAAGTAAGTGTCAAGACTACTTAACAAAAACCGCTTATACTATCTCTTGAATAGTTTATTCAAAAGTTGTTCGCTGAAGATAAAAACGAATCCCGACTAACGTAAAAAGGATAACTACTTTTAGACCGTATCTTGATCGTAGCACGAAAATATATATAGCTACCTTCCATAACAAATATATTTAATGTTTGCCCGTCTTAACCACATTAATCGAGTCCTACACCTAACAAGCAACCAACTCAAGGAATAATACTAATACGAATTTGATTCAGAAGACACTTTGAATAAAACAAATAAGAAAGAAGATTAATGTTGGATTGGCCAATAGCCCCGATTGAGAATTTTTGTGACAAATTTTAAAGACGCGGGTCGAAAAAGAGGTCAATCAAATACTGGTAGCTATAGCATATGTCATCAAGATTAAATGAAATAATGGAGGGGAAAGGTAATAAGATAAGCGCTATTAAGTAGCAATAAATAAAATGTTTGTCGTATTGCGAAGACGTGTCTGCAAAATTTCATGTTTCTATTGGCATTTTTTGTTGCACACAATTAATAAAAACGCCATTCCGAAAATTTTTTGCCCGTAAGGTAATATTAATTAACGTGCGTTAGACTAATAACGCTTTACACACTACTTGACAATAATTTATGACAAACAACCAGTAAGAATATTAAAAATTTTATCCTTAGGAGAAGTTGCAATTAGTATATTATACAGTTTTGCCGCCCCGGGTAAAGATCAAGAAAGTACCTGGGCCATTAAAAACGGATAATGTAAAACTGTACATAGTTTGTTTTATTTTGTAAGACTGTACATAACATGCATACCCTCTTATCAAAATATAAAAGCTTTTTATTATTTATTATGTTTAACTAATTAAAACCATTCACTGCATTGCGTTTCTTCACGTACTTACTTAAAGTAGTTAAGAATTTCTGATATTATTTCCGAAATTAACAACATTTATAAGCAACCCTTGCTCCCAATAAATGTTTTCTCTCAAATACATTTTAAAAATGGTCCTAGATTTTGTCCCAATTAACTCTTCAAAAACTTAAAAATAAACCTTCCATTATAATTCTAGTACCTTCAATTATTGCTGTCCGTACCTTTATCTTTATGCTTAATATAAAATTTCATATCCACAACGTAATCTTGCAGAAAGTTCTCCAATGCTTTTTGCCGTTCTGGCAACTTCTCCAATGCCTCTTGTTGTTTTTGCATGTTCTCCAATGCCTCTTGCATGCTTTTAAATTTACAATGGAGTTTTTCTATTGTCCATTCTTCTTCGTTTTCGCCATCAGTGTCCTCTTTTTTATTGACACCAATTGTGTTCTCTTCTTCATCTCCAATGACTGTGCTCTGCTCTGCGCTCTCTATATCCTTATTAATTGTGTTTTCTTGTTCATTTTTTTCCTCTCTAGATTTCTTGCTTCTATCAGTAGCCCAGTAAGCGATACGACTTAATTCCTCAATAACTAATTTGCGAAAACCACAACCTATGTACTTTAACTGTATATGTTGGACCCAACCCCATGGTTCAATGGCTCTATCACCTGTTAAAAGAAGAAACCGGGATTAGTATTATCCAATCACAGAATGTAATTTTTAGGGAAGAGATTACAAGTAGGTTTACTTACCGTATAATAGTCCATATAATGCCACAATTAATGAATACATACCTCCTAAGGCACTTAATACATTGAGCAGTGTCATATTACTAATATATAAAAATAAAAATAAAATAAGAATTATTTTATTATTTTATCTATCGCAAGAGTACATTACAGTTATCCTACTTACGATTTTTCTATTTCAGTATTAACCATGTAGGAGGAAGGCTCCACGGAAACCCGCGCATAGACACTACTATTGACATTAACAAGCGGGTATGTGGCTGTAAACTTGTTAGGGAGTGGTTGTATTTGAAGACGTTACTGTGAGCAGTAAATACGTACCATATGTACTACTCAACATAGGCAAGGTTGCAAAGTGAGGTCTTCCAATAATTAAATTTTGTACACTTGGAATAATAAACTTATGGATAGTCCGCTCAATTTTAAGAACGTTGTGCTAAACAGAAGATTTATAAATATCTATTATATTTTATTAATCAAATACTTTCAAATTCATATTTACCTGACCTTTACCAAGAGTATAGATATTTGAATAGATTGTAGAGTCGACATCGCTTGCCACAGACATTGAATGTGGTCCATTTTCAGAAACAACGTTTGACTCTGTTTTCCATACGTTAGTATAACTGATGTACATTAAAGTAACATTACCGGAAAAGTACGCTTACCTCTATCAAATAGGATTGCCCACATGTTTGCATCCCAGTCAGTTGGATAAAATGTGCTATTTATAGAAAATTCAAAATCTATTCTACGAATAACGTCTCTATTGTAATAGTGGGTTGAAGGATCAGGGTATGTAAAGTTTGGAGCTACAAATTTTTTTATCCACATATTTCTATCGGGATCATAACTAGGGGAGCTTAAATAAGATTGGCATTCAGATTGTGAAATTTTTCCATCTATAAAAAATATCAGAATGTTTATATGGGAAAAGCAATCAATAACACATTTTGAAACTGTTGTTGTTTACCATATTGTATCAATAAACATGAAGTGTCAAATTTGTACTCCGAACCGAATATAATATCTGTAATGAGATATTATTAACTATTAGTTTTTATATTAATCTATTTCACCCATTCTTAAACATTACCTGGCGAAGGAAGTCCATCTATATTAGTTCTTGAGTATATAAGCGTTTTTTCACTACGGTACAATTCATAGATCATCCAACACAGATACGCAATTAAACATCCATAGAAGAATACGGCAGTAATCTTTTTCAGAATATTAATTCTATTTGGTTCGCTTCTCCGTTTGTCCCATCTTATTTTTTCCATCGTTGTTATATTAATCTGAGAAATACAGCCCGAATACAAATATCCGAGGCTTACTTTATAATATTTCGGCATTGGAATCCGAACTTTAATAGAAGCTTGGATTGCATTTGGAACATGTCACACTATACCATATGAAGGTGAACTATGGGAAATAGAGAATTTTCCATTTAAGCGATTGTAAATAAACTTTATTACCGTATACTACCGATAATAAGCTCCATTGTGAAAAGCATACTAACCCCTAATCCAATAACACCGAATTAACGGCTCAAGCGCAGATACTATAAAAACGTAATTTGTCCAAATTTGCTTAAGAGATAAACATTGTACATAATTTCGGTTTAATTGTCACTTGTTAAACCCTTAACAATAGAGAAGTCGATTCTACATGTGTTTTATACTTGAGTTCAGAGAAAAATAACAACAAACTATGATATTTATATTTAAGTATAACTTTTCTTCATGTGTTAATAACTTGATACCATTGCATCTGTGAGTCATGTCTACCAAAAGATGCTTTAAATAAGCTTGTGAGCAGTTAAATGTCTTCATTGCCAAAAAACCTCCGCATTAATATTACGAACCTGCAGGGGTAATTCGGCGTCCATTGGTAGCCCGCTCCTTGGAGATCGTTAAAATACTTGCAAGATTGCATACAATTCATAGATGCTTCTGTTGAAACGTTTAGCAGATGAACATTTCGTTCTCGTATTGAACGTAATTAATGTAATTGTCCTAATTGACTCACAATGTCTATTTTTACAACAAAATCAATCCCAATTCTCCAATAATCACCGCCCAAAAGCGGAATAAACCAAGTACTCAATACAATTTCCATATCCGCAGAACTCATAAAGGTGTATGCTGGCACAGATGTAGTGCTAGTGGAAGTAATGTTATAGCAATGGCTGTTCAAAAAAATTGATACGGACAAGATTCCATCTGGTAAGGTTGTCGATAATTTATCCGTGGTATCTTTTTTTATGTGCTCACAAACAGCAAGCTCAATAAGTGACTGCGTAACTCTATTTTGCATTGCCGGAAGACCCGTGCTTTCCAAATTTGTTTGAACAATAATATCGAATTTGGAACGGATTGAATGAGTTCTAATAATAATATTGTCACAAGACTTATCACAATGTATAATCAAAGAGGCAAATAAACCAAAATATTGCTCAGAAAGTTCGGTTACTTACCACTTTGAGAAAGAAAACAATCAATACAAAAATATGCTTTGTAAATGGGGGGTAATGCTGCGGAACAGTTCCGCACGCACATTGTTCTACGATTCCGAATGTTTATTATTGATTTAATTTTGGTAATATACCAAATTCAAAATTTTTTTCCATTTGACAAAGTCACGACGGGACTTGATTATTAAGCCAGTGCCGTCATCCCAAACACCATCTAATTTCTTATTTTTAGTTGAGAAGTCTTCCTGGCAACTGATCACACAATCTAGCAGCAACGAATTAGTTTGCAATCAAAACAGCGGCATTATATGAAACAGTGTCTTTCTTCGTTTTGAAGGCAAGATTGACCTGATGGCGGTCTCCGGTATAGCAACCGGACAAGTTATAAACTTGTTTATAGAACAGTATTTCTTATTTAAACTGCTGTTGTACACGATGCTTGTCCTTCGCAAGACTTGGAAGGTCAAACTAGAATGCTTACGGAAGGTTTGTGGCAAAGAACATTCACCCCCTTAACTAATAATTTGATTGGTCATTCATTGATCTTAATAAATTTTCCATAAAAAGTAACAAATTATGATCGACTTGTACGATAAATACATAGGCACTCTCGGACTCGTCGGGCGGAGATTTTATCCGACTTATTGACCTATCAAATTTCATAAATTTTTAAATAAACCTCTACCCCCATTTATTTAATAAGTAACTAGATTTAGAATTTTATAGGGGGCTTCACCGAAGCGAATACGTTTAATTTTATACAGTAACTAGAAACAGTTTTTTTTTTGGGGGGGGCTGCGCCCCTTGTAGGATTTATTTATTAGGTAGAGAGTAGATTAAATTGGATAAATAAATAATAAACGAAATAAATTAATGAGAGGTTATTATTCAGATTGATCATGTATGTTGGAAAAGTCTAATCTGTTAGATGCTATATCAGAAATTCTATTTGTTGATCGTAAAACTCTTTCCGTGGTTGACAGGGTTTCGGTGAGTCAGTTGGTCAGTCAAACTTTCTTATGGGTTGAGATGATGTATCATTGTTCAGTTCAGAATTGTTGTTATTGTTAGTAGGGGTAGTGGATAGCTTTGGCTTCTTTGGTGGGTGGATCTGTCTGGAGATTCCATCAAGAAACTGTACAGTAGTGATCGCTTTTCAGATGCGAATGATAGTGCTTGGGAGGAAAGGGGTGGATGATGTGGTGGTGGTTGTGTATGGGGAAGTGCCAGATATATATTCGAAATTATGCAATTCGATGCATAGTTTATTGTCATGGATGTCCAGTTCACCTACGATGGAGACTTTTGATCCCAGTTTAGCCTTCCTGGTTCGCTCGTATAGGCTTTTTTTTTTTTTGTTTATTTTATGGCGGACCATAGTGTCAAATTCAGATATCTTCGTCGAGAGGCCGTTTCCTGAAACGTATTGTGACGCCCGGACGGTGAATATTGCTATGTTATTTCGTGTTTGGACGGTTAACTTTACAGTTCCAATTCCTTTGAGCCAAGTGCGGGCGTGTGGTGTCGATGATGGTGTTTTTGCATTTGAATGCGTTTACCTGATAATAAATTGCGTGATGTATGAGGTTGACAAAAGTGAAGTGTTGTAAAAATATTACTATTACGTTAATTATAGATTTGCAAACGTACGAATATTATGTAATCGAAATGTACGAGCATTGTTGACTGTCTGTTGTCGTTGATATGATGTATGGATGTGTGGTATGTGTGAGTTTTGTACTGTATAACAATAAGGGGATTTGATAAATTTGTGTATTCGATTTTGTGAAATGGGCTTGGTTTTATATTAGTAGTAAGGTGGGGAAGGATTATGTGTTTGTATAATGGCGATGCAAAGGTTTTATTATAGTTTGCTTATTGTTTCTTTTTGCTAAACGGTATATACTGTAGTTGGTGTATTGATCTCTTTTTTTCTCACGTCTGAGCAATATGGGAGATACGCATGAGATAATGTAATATTTTTTGGTTATATTTTGTGTGCGTCAATGTATTCGATTAGTCGATGTAAATTCGATGTGTTTGGGAAATACTATGTTTGGATTTATTATTTGGGAAAATAAAGTGTGTTTGCTTTTTTTATCGTATGGTGTTATTCTTTATTGAGTGGACGGTGTAATAAATATTTTACCATTGTATCGATGACATTACAGTATACGTTTGAGGCAGGCAATGCCAATCTTTGATATGCATGGATGGCTAGTTGGAAATTTTATTAATTGGTTGTTGTATACCGATGTCGTATGCGGTTAGTTTATGCGTGGGTAAATAAGAAATGTCATGATTATTTGGAAGGCACATGCCATTTTACATTGTATGATTGGGATGACATATTGCTGCAATCGATTGAAATGTAGGGAATTAAGCGGATAGTTTGTAGTTTTTTTGAAGGACTGCAGCATCGATGGAAAAGGCATAAATTATTATTAATAAAATGGGACAGAATTTTGCGTAATGCAGTAGAAGGACGCCAATACGAATGAGTATCGATTTCCACAAGCTCATTGTTGCTAGCGTTGGAAAATTCATGTAATGGAGTAGACATATTATTGTGTGTACTGACATGCGAGTCGTATTCGTATCGAAAACAATTTTATTGATATCAAGAGAATATACATCAATAACGTAAGACATGTTGATCAAGTTGTGTTATTAACTTTTTTTTGGTAAATATGAAAACTATTTTTCTTATTTTTCTTTTTCTATATTGAAAGAAAAGCAAGCAATGGAATTGAATTTTAGGTACTGAAATAATTTTTTTTGATCGTTTGTTTGGAAAGATGGAATAATGATGTAATGTATTTATTAATTATTTATTTGTTCATGAATAAAGGCGCATACAAATAAACAACGTGGGGAAATATGTTATGGGAAGCTGAAAGAATGATCGTCAATTTTTAGTAGTCTAATTTAACGACATTTCAGCGAAAATCGAACAGTTTAATAATTGAATACCAACGGACGATCATAATAATTACCAAAGCTAGACAATTTCTCTGACATTAACAGTAATTTTTAACAATATTTTTAATAATCGATGAAGCATACCAAAATTTTATTCTTATCTTCTCCGAGAGCGAAAAGAAGGATCGTTCCCAACTGATATTATTCTGGGAGAGGCGACGTGGGTTGCCAAAGCAATCCGAATACTTTACGTTAAATTACAATGGTAATGATAGTTGTCTTTGGTGCATTTGTTTATTTTGTAAGATACACTATGTTACAAGGAAAGAATACTGCGGCGATTTTTTTTTCTTTATAAATACACAATGGTGTCAAGAGAGGCGGGCGGCTTCCTTATACATAACCGTATGCATAAGAATCGGATATGCATAAGGATTATATAAAAACAGTTGTATAAAATTCTTATGAATCTTACCAGAAAAAGGAATTAAGGAAAAGTCCGAAATTTTAATATGGAAAATGATACACGCAAATGACGAATGGGAATGCATCATTGGCAAATTAGGTTAACATCAGGCATCAGGTGATGAAGGTAGATGTTTACTATACGTTAACTATAGTAATAAATACTTAAGAGGCTTCGCCTCTTCGTTTTTCACGATTATATATCAATGATGGTAATGATGGATATAATGGATGTAGTGGTTTTTTGGAGAGGTGAAGGTGTTTAAGTAAATAGTCGGTTGTAAACATTAGTTAGTAATATATATCAGTAGTAAATTTTTGTTGGTGTGGTGTTGTGGAATCATTCATTTTCGGAATCATTTAGTATTTTCTTATTACGACGTGACATAGTTTATATCCTATATTAAGATCTTTTCGGGA